CCCTACAAAATCTAGACTGCTCATTGACAAGTCTCCTGAAACACCATGTGCACTTTTTCCATTTCTCACATGCTAAAAGGCCACTGTGTTTCCCAAGTGGCTAGTGGATGGAAGTAGCTTCAGTTTTAGACACCCAACATGAGAGGTGATGGCAAGGACCAATTATTAGCATGGAGGTTGGGTAAGGGCAGAACTCTCCATTCCCAGTGCTGCAGCCCAAAGACCTCTAAGACAGATGTTCTTGTAAGCAATGAGTCACATGAGAAAATCTTATCAAGATTATGGGCTATGTATACTCATATAGGGAATCACAGAATAGTTGAGGTTGGAAGGCACCTCTGGAGATCAGCTAGTCCAGTCCTTCTGCTCAAAGCAGGGTCAACCAGAGACGGTTGTTCAGGACCATGTCCAGCGGAGTTTTGAAAGTCTCCAAGAATGGAGACTCCACCGGTTTCCTCTGGACAACCTGTTCCAGTGTCTGGCCACCTTCCTAGTAAAACAGTCCCACACCTGGGGTCTCATGACATGTAACAAGGGGAAATGTAAAGTCTCACACTCCCCCCAGGTCATTCCTGCCCAGGTGGGGGACTTTACATTACCTTTGTTAAGTTTCATGAAATTCCCGTTAGCTCATTTCTCCACCACGTCCAGGTCCCTCTGGATGGCAGCACAATCCTCTGGTCTATCAGCCAGTCCTCCCAGTTTTGTATTGTCTGAGAACTTGCTGAGGGTGCGTGCTGTCCCATCATCCAGGTCATTAATGTACATGTTAAACAGTAGTGGCTCCAGAATCAATCCCCAGGGTAACATCACTACTGACTGGATTTTGGTGCTGTTGATCACAATCTTTTCAGCCCAGTTTTCGATCTACCTCACTGTATTCTTATCTAGGTCATACTTCATTAGTTTGTCTATGAGGATATTATGAGAGACAGTCTCAAAAGCCTTTCTAAAGTCAAGCTACATTCTCCTTGCATCCACCAAGCTAGTAATTTCATCGCAGATGGGTATCAGGGTGGTCAAGCATGATTTCCCTTTTGTAAATCCACACTTGACTACTCATATATGAATATACTCACTCATATGCATATACTCATACAGATATATCTGTATATACCTAGCCCCAAACTGCAAAAATCAGTAACTGCTTTCCAGAGAACAAAGCAGAATTACCCTCTTAAAAGGAAATACATAATCCTGCAGCATTTGGTGTTTATCACAGGACAGCACGTGAAATCTGAGTATTGGTGCAGACAGGAACACAGACAGAAAGCTCCTGTTGAGATGTAGTATACAGCTCCTTGTAGACCAACATCTAACCAGAACATCCTTAGCATCAGGTTTCAGGAAGAAATGAGATGCCTTGAGAGAGAAGGACCGTTAATTCTTGCACTCCTTGTAATTTTATAATTAAATGCATTTACAGCTAAATGGCTTTAAACCAAACCAACAGGTTCTCTATATGAAGGATAGGTTTTAGTGCTTGAGGCTGGATGCTTTACATTTCTAATGTGCATAGAATGAAAGATTACAACTTGCCAGCAGTAGTTTATATGCACATGCTTTCTTCCTTTTCCCCTGTTTATAAATGAATCCTGTGATACAAGAGGTCAAGTGCCATAGGAGGAAAACTGCATTGCTTCCTTACCTTGTGGTTTCCCCACAGCCGGGCCAGCCCGTTGGGATCCACTATCCGAAATATTTTGGATTCCTTATCTTCCCATCGGATGAAATTTTCGTACCGGCTGTCAGAAAGCAGCTGATAAACATAATCCCAAAGCAACCTACAGTCTGTGAAGAGAGGAGCAAGAAAATATTGACTTTTCTTCCTTGGGATTAATTCTGGAAACTTTTGGGTGGATGTATAGTGAAAGGACAGTTGGGATCAGGGCTGAAGCAGCTGCTGCAATCTGAAATGCAAATTGCTTGGTTGATATGAACTGATGGTTCCAAAATGTACTGGAATATACAGCCTCTTCTGACGCGTCCTAGTCCTTCTGACACTGACTGAGCATCTTTATCACATTAAAAGCTGCATGAGATGACCTGCTCATCTTAGTTGTGTATTTACTGCTGTACTGATGCACATAAAACTACCACTGCTGGTCCTGATGCTGTTGCTAGCTGTTTCAGTGGGGAAATCGAGAATCCTGCAACCTGTTCTCCCTGCTTGAGGCTGCCCCTTTCTGGGCTAACATGAGGGCTCTAAAGCATGGGCAATGTTACAGCTTTCCTTTGTATACTCCATGTGATATAAAATTGACACCTCCTACCACTTTTGAATCTGCTTTTTGTTTTATTTTTTAAGGTTCCTGAAAAAAACTCAAGTATTATAATTACCTGAGTGCTATTGAGAGGTTAAATGCTTTCTATTTGGATAACTGAATTCAAATTTCCTCTTAGCAAACACTCCTTAGGTCGCTAATTAAAGGTCTAACAGATACTTAGGGTTTAGTTTAGTGTTTTTCAGTTTCATGGCAGTCTCTTGAGACCGAGGAAGCCAAGAGCTGAGCTGCTCCTACTTCCTGCTTGCAATGTGCGTGCGCGCAGCAGAGCACAGGAACTGGCAACGATGCAATATGGAAGTGAATTGCACAGAGCTGGTGGTTCTGCTGCTGTCAGAAACAACAGGGGTTTTATAGCTCAACTGTCCAGATCCCTAAGATGGCCGTATAGTTGCATTTTGCTCTGAAAGCAAAACCAGTCTCTGAGAGATGGCTTGTTAAGAGTGGTTGAAGGGCTGGCGACCAAAGACATCTAGCTTCCAGGTGCTAAAATGGATTCTTGTCAGGCTGTCTTTCTATGCCTGTCCATCTGGGGTTGGTACGTGTTACAATGGGGATGATGACATATTCAGTATGAGAATGTAAAATGCTTTTTGAAAGGGATATAAATAGCACATTTAATGAGCACACCTGAAATGGTTAGAGATATTAACATTACTGATGGTATTTTCCATTTTTGAACGTAAAGAGTATCTCCGAAACCTGCATTGTCTCTAAAACTAGACTTAGTTTGCCAGTGCCCTTACTACAGACTCTCCCTACCAGTCCTACAGGGAACAAAGCAGTGCATTTTGAAGAGATGACATCTGGCAAAAATTGCAGGTTTCCGTTCTAGCTGAAACTTACCCCAATGGTCACCTCATCCGTGACATTTACAAGAGGAGGAATGTGAAAGGAAAGAGGCAGTCAGATTTTTTGGTTGGAAAAACCTTATTTTCATTAGGATTTTTCACAGAAAAATGTCCATTCCCACTTGAAAATTTTCTGGGTTTTAATTAAAAAAAAAAAAAGAAACCAATTTCCATTTTTTTCATTCATGGATGTGAACGTTGTTCAGTGACAGCTTCCTCCCTCTCACCCAGAATAAGGTACCTGCAGCTGGAACCAGGACAGAAAACAATTCTCCTCCACGTGCTTTTGCCAATGACCAGCCTAGATGGGTCCCTTCTTGGCACATGAATGCAGAGGAGCCTTCCTTTGCCTCTCCCCCCACCCCAAGCCGCATACGTAGCCCACGGCTGCAGGCACCAAGCAGGTAGCTGGCTGCAGTTAAACACTGCAATGCCAAACGCTGCTGCGGCTAACCCCTTGTGCGGCTCCGGGCACAGGTGACTTCCCCTGGCCGACGCAGGAGGTCTGCAGAAGAGCATGAAATTGAAAGTCTCAGGCTTTAATTGCTGTCAGCTTTCCTCTCACAAATTCACAAAATTCAGTTCTTCCATCACCTTTCCATCAATAACTTTTCCACATACACACACTTAGTCTCTCAGACACGCACACAGTAAAAAAACCCTTCTTTTCTAGACTTCATTTATAAGGAACAAGGGAAGGGAGATTATATTGCTCTACTGGTTTGTGCCTTTTACTAATGTGGGAGGTGCTCAGGTAATAGTGTAGTAAGGGCCATGTAAGTGGTTCCTTGACACACATGCAATTCATGCTTGAACTTTTTCAATGAAAGACTGTATAGAAAATGATTTTTTAGTGAAAGAATCTTAATTTAAAAAAAAAGACAACAAAAACTTTAACCATCTTCCTTTTCCTTCAATTTCTCTAGCTCTGACTCCCCAGGGCATATTTCACCAGTTGATCAGAGTTGGTAATACTGCTGCATTCCAAAAACTACCTTTTTTTTTTTCATCATCCGGTGTAATCTGTGATAACTTTAACAAGACCTGCATAGTCTATGTCAACAATTGATGTTGAATTCACTGGTTTAGATCAGCATTTTTCAAAGATCTCCATGTTTTCTTTCTGTCCAGTCCTTCATTAAAATCACCATAAAGGTGATGCAATTGTTTAGGTCAGCGGTAAATCATTCACCATGGCCATCAGTGGGCAGTACTGGGTTAAACACCCATGGTGGGCTCAGGTTGGCCCCCACCTCATCTGCAAGAGAGGTCTGTCTTGGTGGGAGCAGTTTCAAAGTGGAAAACATTCACTTAGCTGATGTTTGTCAAGGAAAAAAGAGACCTTTTTTGGCTAAGGCAGGAATTTATTAGAAACCTGAGGGAAGAGAGGAAGGACATGTGGGTCTGTTGTTGAACCAGCGCTTTTGGACTGTGCTGGAAGTTTGCTGAGGTGGTTGGTTGGTGTAGGGCCACATTAGGAGAGCGCTGCAGGAATTCAGTGACCCAGCATCAGTCATTTGGTTTTGCTTGTGCTACTATTGCTAGTCCTGCAAGGAGTGGCCCCCCTTGGGGTCAGCTGCAGGGATGGCAATCCCACAGAGGCAAGTCAATGTCAGGCTCCGGCACAGTCTTGAACGTGCAACCTCTCTGATTATAGCAACTTATAGCTAATATTTACAGTTCTGCAGAGATATGATTTATCCTAAACTTTACTTTCACCTCATTATTTGCAATATGTGATGCTGTTTTTAATCAGCAGTATACTGCCATAACTATGCTCTAGAAAATTCCCAAGTGTATAAAAAAACCTCTTACTGTTGGGGATGGCAGAGCCCCAATACCTTCTCTACAGTGGCCCCTGGAAGAGTTTCAAGGAGCTGATGGATCCCTGACAGCTGACTGCAATTGTACACGTGATGTGCATTGCACTGTGCCAGGGCTGCACATTCACCTCAGTGTGGCTAGCAAGTAAATTCTAGTCGAACCTAATGGCTTTGGTTATTTTCCATCGGCTATCATTAACACCCCCCCCTCCCCGCCAATACACACACCCTGTGGCCCCCTCCTTCACAAAAACAAGAAAGCACAAAAAAATTCAGCCCAAGATTTCAGGGTGGCAAATTATTGGACTAACAACAGAGCTTCAGACTCTGAGAAGAGGTAGGATTCAAGTGCAGATTTGTTTTTTGTTGTTCACTTGATTTTTAGAATGGATTCAGGCTAAGCTTGAATATAAATATTCCTCAAATGAGAAGAACTCAGATCTACATCTTGAGATCTTCACAAGAAAAGTCCCAAGTGATCAAGGGCCCCATCCCATATTCTAAACTGACTGAGCTGCTCAGACTTGCAGAGGTATTTAGTAGGCTGCTGGAATTTGCAAAAAAACCCAACCACCCAAGTATCTTAGACCTCTAAATCTGTTTGCTTCAACAAAAAAATAAAAAATTCTTGAAAATTCTGCTTGGCCCCTACAACCACTTAAAAAATCGTCTTCAAAAGCTACACTTGTCTATCAGCAAATTGAGATATATGACTGAGTTGCACTAATTTAATGAGCTGGCGTGCCTCAGTGCAACTGTGGCAACTGTGTCTCAAGCCACTGCAAAGAGGAAATAAAAAGCATTAGCTTTGAACACCAGTAGAAAAGATTTAGGCTCACTGCATGTCCTCTCACCTCTGCTGCAAGCTATGTGCACGCACAATGTTAGTTATCATGGACCAGCTGATGCTTGTCGGCACGATTTAGTTAAATGTATGAGCTGTTTGCAGAGCACCTAAATCAGCTTGCCTTCTTTTGAGTTTCACATGGGAGACCTTTAGGAATTTGAGCGTAGGCACTCAGGGGTTTTTTTTGTTTGTTTTTAACCACAACTGATTTACACCCTGGGTATCTTTCTCCACAGATTGCACAGTAGAAAACGATGAGGTTCTGGAGGGGTCTCCTTGACTGACAGAGGAGCAGCAACTACATAAACTACCATTACCAGGCCAGTAGAGACCATTTTTAATAGGACAATAGAGACTACAGGTCAAAGACTACCTGATAACTCTTAGTGAATATAACGAATTTGGAGTATATTAGAGCCCATCTGGAGTAAACTGCAGCCTATGAAACTGGTGAAAACCCAAGAAGAGGCAATGCTAGAAAATGCTATTAAAAGGAGCTTTTCCACTGGGAAGAGACACCTTCACAGAAGGCTGGTGAAGACAATACAGAAAGTAGCACCCTCCAGGAAGGTCAAAACTGTTATATGTATTTTCAGGAAGGATGGAGAAACTGAGAGAGGGACTTGTATGTGGATGGTTGTTTTTGCAAGTATAAATCACTTGTTTGAAGAAAGCCTGGATGGTGTGAATGACTCCATGAAGACTTTGTGGAGTGGATTGGAGAAGACTCCACTTCTTTGGCTCTCAGAAGGCCTCCAAAGGAGCAGTCACGTGGAGGGGCTCTCCATAGGGTGTGCGGTGACTAGTGAGCGATGGCAAAAAAGCACACGGATGTTTCTGAGGACTAGCAAGTTTAGAAGTGTGGGAGATTCAATAGGGGAGTTGAGTTAGGGCTGGTACCTAAATTGCTCGGGCATGCTGCAATTTCCTGCCTTTTGGCTAAAATAAGCTTACTTAGAACGTAACTATGCCTCTGTAGCACAAG